CATTTTCATTATAGCCCAAGACCTCTATGATTACAACAGTGACACAGTTTCCTGTGTCATGCAGCCAGCTCATGCACACCATCATGCTGCACATGTGGACACATTCTAGTTCACATTCTAGTAATCTGAGTCCTGAGAAACCAGTCCGAGGCAGCTGCGTCTGGTTTGTATATAGCAGAGGCAGCAGGCTGTGCCAAGGCACTGAGCATGAATGAGTCTTATATTTGATCTCTGCAAGACTGRCGCAAAGTGTATTTAACCAGGATGAAAATGATAAGCCGTTTAAATAAAATGGAAGCAGAAAAGAAAACTGTGGAATTTTCCTTTTGCTTTCCAGCCTGATTCACCTGTTCTCCTCTTCAGGTACCATTTTCTATCTGAGTGCAGTTTGTTCGGAGAAAATGGCAGCAATTCCATCAAGTGGTTCTCTCATCGCCACACACGACTACTACAGAAGTAAGTCCTGCTTCAACTGTAGGTGTTATTTATGGGGTTCACTTCTGTGAGAGGCAACAGATCATAAAGTTTAGTATTTTTATTTTGTTTTTCTACAGAAGTTGTTTTTTAAATATTTTAATAAAAGGAAACCTCTAAATGTGTGTTTATAGGACGCCTCGGGTCCAACTCCAGCAACAGCTCTTGTGGCAGCGCTGAGTACACCGGGGAGGTTATTCCACACCATCCAGGTATAATAACAGCAATAATAATTGTAACTTGTCATAGCCTTTTATATGAAATAAAATAAAGTTTGCTATTTTTTTGTAGCACTTCCACGGCAAGACTCTGGCCACTGGTGGACCTCATTTTTCTTTGCAAAACAGAACCAGCTCGGCATGCAAAATGGATCTGAGAATCATAAGTGAGTCTCATAACACCAGCCTCTGAAGTTGGTTCAGCTCATTTAAAGTGGACTGGGCTCTTCTATAACTATAACTAACCTCTAATTTCCTTTCATTTCATTTAATTAACTATAACCTCTTCTGTGTTGCAGGAACGGAACCTACACAGTGACCAACGGTCAAGTGACCTGCATCGCCAAGGAAATGGTTTTGAGCAGACAACTCAGCGAAAGCAATGAAAATGGAAAACTAGAACCCACGTCCCCCCCACCTACTTCCTCCTAGTACCCCCTCTTCCCCTTCCACCCAACACCATCCCTCCTTGCACCTTCCTCACCCTCATCTTGCCATCGATCTCATAGTCCATCAGTGGAGATGTAGATTTTGGTGGTAATGATGGTGGTGTTCTGTTACCTTTTAAGTAAATAGTTTGCTTGTCTTTTGTGCCTGTATATAAATATTATACTTTTATTACGACCAAAAAGAAAAAAAAAACAAGTATGTAAAGAAGTTTTTCATTTATTTCTTGTAATAACTTGTCAATTATTAATGAAAATAAAATAGTTCTAGTCATCACTTTTGTTTGTTTCCCTGTGACTGTTCTCAGCCTTTAAACAAACGTGGGTTGTAACACAAAAACTATTTTTTTATGATTTGTGTTTCTGATTAACATCAAATCCACCACAAAATGCAGTCTCAGCTGAGCAGCAGTTTAAAATAACTCATCAAAGGAACACAAGCTAACCTGACTAACTTAATCTGTTTAGCTTTGATCTGATTAGAGATGATTAAGTCTCGTTAATACTGCTTGTATAACGCCTCCTCTTCATGCAAATGTGGGTCACCAGCTTGTGAAAGACACCCTGTTATGAGCGTAAAGGTCAGGACCAGAAGAGTGATCGGTGAGCTCRCTGAACATGGTCTTTTAGTTCCACCGGTTTCTTTAAATATCACGTTTTTGTGACACATTCAAAGTGTTTCTTTGTCAACAGTCAGTGGGGATGGACCCTGTGCGGATGGGGCTGAGGGGGACAGAAAGCTTGTTTAGTGGGTGAACAAAACAAAAGGTGGAAAAAAAAAACTATAGAAACTCGGGTGGAGTCATGGGAGGAGCACAAAGGGGACACGTGTGAAACCAGCACGACCCACTGGGGAAGTGGTGACAGGAGKTTGGTCAAATATAGGATGAGTGTTAATGTTAAGGTGTGAAAGAGAGTGTCCTCTATCTCTGAGATGCAGGTGGACAGCCAAGTCTTTTCCTGAAGAGGTAGCTCTCCTGTGTTCAGACATTCGTCTGTGGAGAGGTTTAGTTTCTCCAAATTCKTGGATATCCTGGGCTTTCGTCAAGAAATCCAAAAACACGCTGTGGAACAACATCATCCCATACATTGCTGGAGTATCTGAAAAACTCAGGAGGGTTTTCTCCAAACATAAGACCTACAGTTTATTTTAAACCCAACAGGACCCTCAGACAGGGGCTGGTCCAGCCTAAGGACAGAACCCTCAAACCCAAGCTGAGGTATGAGCAGATGCTCACAAGGTATAAGCTCTTAATGGAGATAAAAGCTATATTTTTTATTTTAAAACACTAAAGTTATTGCAACAAAATCATTATCAATAAATTAGAAGTCTGAATAAAATAGTAGAAACCCAGATGATTGTCTWCTAGAAGGCTTTATTCTCATCGGACTMCAATCAGACCCACAGCAGCAGACCTGAGAGAAACAGGCCTTGGCTCTTATCAGAACCAAAACAATAACCATCTCCATCCCAGGTTAGCTAAATGTGAGAAGTTTACTGAAGTTGCAAGTACATAAACCATAGCAACATTTTACCTGAATCACAACCATGCAGGAGTCTGCTCTCAACAGATCTTGTGCCGTGGCACTTTAGTGTTTTTGATTTTGTTTGCTTCAAACATTTTTTAGTCTCTTTTTTTTTAGGATTTGTAATTTTACCAAGTATTTATTTAAATCGTGACTTTCACTGTTATTTCGTTACTTTTAAAACCAAAAAATGATACTTATACTTCTTTACTTTAAAGATGTTAAAACATCTAGTTACAAAACCCCATAAACACATTGCTAAAACTTGTGGACAACCTTCCAGAGGTGAAGCTGTTCYAGCTGCAGAGGGCGGACCAACGTCATATTGAACCCTATAGATCTGGAATGGGATGTACCTTAAGCTCATATGTGAGTCAAGGCAGGTGAGCCAATACTTTTGGCAATACAGTGTGTTTTATTTTTAAATCAACTAGGTTTTGTGGAGCCAGTTTGGTTCGGTAAATTTAACAGTTTATTTGCGAGCGTGGAAAGGTACTTTTACTTCTACTTTCCTAATTTTTGTGAACAGTTTTATAACTTTTACTTAAGTACTTTTCTCATCAGTGACATTTACTTTTACCAAAGTCATTTTCTCTTAAGGTATTTTTACTTTTACTTAATTTTTTAAAGTACTTTATTTTCAAGTACTTTACAGACCTCTGTTTTAAACACACACACTTCATACCCTGAAGACATGAAGACCTGGGTAACACAACAATCCAAGGCATGCTTTGTGGAAATATCAGGTTCCTGTGTTGTTACCAGGAAACTGGAACACACAGATAATTGTTTATTTAACACATACAGCGGCTGCTCAGAGMACAAACACTGACACCTGTAGCAGGTTTGTTGTGGCTGGTTGTATCCACTGACGACATTTGTGTGTTAATTTGTGCATGGCTGCAGCTTGCTTATGAGATTTCTCACTTGTCATCTTCAGTAGTGTCTGTAAATGGCAATATGTAAACAT